GTAGCAGCTCAAACTATACCACCGAATTTAAAAATAAAAAACTCCAAGCCGAAAATACACCAATCCACTCAAAAATAAACCCAAATATTCCGCAACAAATACAACTCAACGAAGATATTACAATCAATGAAATACTTCACGCCTTATCAAAGAGTAAAAACAAAAGTGCCGGCCCCGACGGAATACCATACTCGTTTATCCAACACCTCCCACCCAACGGAAAACTTCTCCTATGTCACATCTACAACAAAATCTGGAAAAACAATTTCTTCCCCAACAACTGGCGAAATTGCATAATAATCCCTCTACTGAAACCAAATAAAAATAAATTTCAAGTAGACAGCTACAGACCAATCTCCCTCATAAACAATATTAGCAAAATTCTAGAAAAAATAATAAACTCAAGGTTAATATGGTACATAGAAAAAACAAACTACCTATCAAATTTCCAAAACGGGTTTCGGAAAAACAAATCTACAATCGTCAGCCTAGGATATATCCAAACCGAAATAAATAAAGCGTTCTCCAATAATCAGTCTATGAGTCTCATAAGCCTCGACATAGAAAAAGCTTACGACCGCACTTGGAAACACAGTATCATATCGAAACTAAGCAAAATACTATGCCACGGTAACCTACTCAACTACATTAAAAATTTTTTACAAACTAGAACATTCCAAGTAAAACTAGGCAACACAACTTCCGAGACCTTTTGTCAAGAAAATGGAATCCCACAAGGATCTAGCCTATCAACCACATTGTTTTTAGTAGCCATAAACGATATATCCAACACCATAAGTGGACCCATCAAATACACTCTCTTTGCAGACGACTTAAATATTTTTTACAGGAGCAAACAAACAAACACAATACAAAATCTACTTCAAGAAACTATAAATAACCTCACAAAATGGTCTTCAGAAACCGGCTTCAATTTTTCACCCAATAAATCACAAAGCATCTGTTTCACAAAAAAAAGAAACCAAAATCTACCAACCTTTAAAATAAACGAGCACCCAATACCTAACAAAAACACAATCAAAATTCTAGGCGTCACATTCGACACAAAACTATCATGGTTACCACATTTAAAAAACATTAAAAAAGACACATCACAAAGAACAAACATCATAAAAATACTCGCACATACAACATGGGGATCCAAAAGCAAACTACTAATACAATTATATAAAGCACTTATCCGATCAAAATTAGAATACGGTGCTGAACTATACCTTTCAGCCAAAAACACGGCCCTAAAAACAATAGACCCAATACACAATACCTGCCTGCGCCTAGCCATCGGCGCCTTCAAATCCAGCCCAGTCGAAAGTATCTAATAATAGCAAGCGAACCTCCCCTATGGATCCGAAGAATACAAATAGCACTACTCTTCGCCGCAAGACTAACCAGAAACAACGCCGAAACACTAATTCCCGAACACATCAAACAAATCATCAACAAATACAATTTAGATTTTTCAAATATATTGAAAAACACAATCATACAAACTCCCCCATGGTCAACTAAAATCAACATAAACACTGAAATAGCAGTAAATAAAAAAAAAGAAACCACTCCAGAAATTTATAAAAATCTATTCCGCGAACTCAAAAATAACCTATCAGGTCAAGACATTTATACCGACGCCTCTAAAAGCGAACAAGGAGTAGGAATAGCAATCATTATAGACGAAGAAATAATAACATATAAACTACAAAAAAAATGCTCCATCTATACCGCCGAAGCTATCGCCATATCATCAGCTCTCAAACATATCGAAAACAACCCACACCAAAATTTCAATATATTCACCGACTCCCTAAGCACCATCAACAGTATCCAAAATATATTCCAAACCAACGACATTGCTACTAACATCATTAACCAAATCGAAAATCTAAAACACCAAAACAAAAATGTCCAAATAATTTGGACACCAGGACATTGCGAAATCCACGGGAACGACCTAGCCGACCAACACGCAAAAAATGCAATAACATCTGAAGCTCCCAAACAAAAATACAACACAATATTAGACACAAAAAAACACATAAAAACAATCACACAAAATATATGGCAAAATCACTGGCTAAACCAAAACACAAAATTACGTGAAATAAAACAAAATATAAATCCCTGGCCACAACACGAAACATCAAGAAAAACAGAAATAATAATAAACCGACTAAGAATCAGACACAGCCACATCACACACGGACACCTAATGAAGAACCAACCACCAACAGAATGCACCACATGCGGAGTTACCCTCACAATAAAACACATTATAACTGAATGCCGATCAACCGAAGAAGCAAGAGAAAAACTCGACATACAAGCCAACATGTACGAAGCAATAGGACCTGACTGTCAACCCGAGAGAATCATAACATTCCTAAAGAACACCGGAATAGAAAAATGTATTTAAACATAATATTTAGTCATAAGTAACAATTCCCCCCCCCCCCAATTATTGTAATCAAATTGTAAGCCAAAAATTAAAAAGACATTAACAAAATTATGTAAAAAGCTAATGGCCTATGCCGCCGAAGCTATACAAAGATCAATAAAAAAAAAAAAAAAAATATAGGTAAAAAAAAATGTATGCATATGTGAATTTAAAAAATAAATAGTAATAAAATGTATCATTTTTTAGAAATCTTTCTCTTTACAAAAAAAATTAATTCTTTGTTTATTTTATCTGAGATAATTTTGCCGCCCCCAAAGTGTGCCACCCCCGGGCAATTGCCCACCGGTGCCCCCCCTTAAAACCAGCCCTGGGGGGGGGCTTAGTCACCTCAAGCTCCCCTCCCCGATTTCCACCTATGACCCTGGTAGGCAATGTGCTAAAATTCGATTTGATGCATGCTTGTACCTGATCTGCCCGATTAACCAATGGCAACCAATAATAAATGAATACCATTTCATAATATTCATTATTTCTCCAATAACCAATAGCAACCATTTATAAACAAACATTTCCACCTTAAATCTCAAAATCCTGGTTTAAGCGCTTCCCTAAGCTTTTATTAATTTATCGTAGCACTAGCGTGATGTTATAATATAGCCTTCATCGATGAATGGACTATCCAACAAAAAAATGATTTTTCAATTCGAACCAGTAGTTCCTGAGATTAGAGAGTTCAAACATAGATAATATATAATTTTAAAACATGCCGTTCACTTATACCTAGTGGCAAGTCGCAAGTACAATAAATAGGTACTAATATTAAATCGATAACCACATTCGCTGTTCATACTTCATAGTAAAACTGATTTTTGGTAAATTGGGATCAAAATTATCCGATTAACTATAATAATTGTATACAACCATAATAGGACATCGTAATATTATCAGTATGAAAAAATACAGTTTTTCAGTTCTCTCGTAGTATACATTATGTTTAAACATGGTGTTAGTAGCTTTCTTGTCTAATAGTCATACGATATTACGATAAGTTATTTTTATATTGTTAATTTACGAGTACCACGAGTCGAGACACGCTGACCTAGATGATAAATTGTATGGTTTTCAATATAAAAATATCATTATACGGTTTAAATACGGGCCAGTGGGTGATCTTTAGTATTTATAATTAATGGTATTACTAACTATAAAAAATAATAAGTATACAATTATGTAAGAAGGCTATTTGTATTGAGATAAAAATGCATTGTAATGTAATTGTCGGTGAGTGGTTTTGTTCAGCTTTATCATGGGTCAGTCAACATTTTTTTGCCATGTTGTACATTTGTAAGGCGGAGACAATCGAGGATGCAATGCATGCGGGTATCATGTCCTCTAAATCTTCAACTATTTATAATGACTAAAAACTATATACAATGTGTTCACGATAGGAGGGTACCACTTAATATTTCAGTTCGATGACTTTGTATTGAAATGGGGTTTTCACTGAATGACAGATTTTTAACTGTTTCGATACGCGCACGAGAGATACAACTTACTTTTTTTTTACATATTCGTATAGAGTATTTTTTCTAAACAATTTATGTGTAAAAAGTTTTTTTCTAATTACAAAATTGGCATATGAAATTTAATTTTTTTGACAAAATCTAAACTAAATTCAACTTATTGTTACTTATTAATATCCATTATCGTTAAATACCTGTTTACACACAGATTAAATAGTAAAAACAACTTTGACAACATTTGCCGGTAATTAAGTTAGTATGTTTCCTATTCGTTATACATTTATTCCACGTAAATATTAAATTTCATCGTTAAACTTCATATGCCAATTTTGGAATTAGAAAAAACTTTTTATACCTACATAAATTGTTTAGAAAAAAATATTCTATCCGAATATGTAAAAAAAGTTGATGTTGCCATTAAAAAAAAACTAAGTTGTATCGCGCATGAACGCATTGAAAGAGTTAAAAAATTTGAAATTTATCTGAAAATGTGTATTTAAGTACTATCTATTCAGCGAAAAAACTCCATTTCAATACAAGGCCATCGAACTGAAATATTTAGTAGTACCCCTTAGCATGAACACACTGTATATGTATATTTTTTATGTATGATTATTACATTTATTTTGTTTAAGAAATTTGCAAATTAAGAACACTTTCATCAATGTTTTATTATAATTTATAATATATATATATAATTTTGTTGATTCATAATTTATATTCTGTACTTAAAAATAATAAAACATTTTATGAGTATAATAATAATAATAATAAACAGACATTAATTAATATAATAATATTTTTCTATAAGATACAAAAAATATTTTATGTACTTATCACAGAAAAAGGAATCTGTATTTTCATAAATAGTTATACAATATATAAGATTCATTTAAATAATTAATCAACAAATTAAGACTCAAAAGTTACAAATATAAATATATATGTTAAAAATTAACAACGTTAAACATAAAACAAAAACAAAAACATAAACATAAACAATTATATAATAATTAAAGAAACAAAAATGGCACATATAATTTTAATGATTATATTATTTACTTTTAATTTCGGTTTCCTTGTGATTGATGTTTCGTTTGACTTTTTTGAATGATGTTATTTATTTCTTCAGGCAGATTACTAGGATCTGACAGTATTTCTGTGGATGTGCACAGATTTCGCAATGCGTTCAAAGCAACTAAAAATATACAATTTTTCTTACTCTATAAACATTATTTAATATATTCATGCCGGGTTGCATGAACAATCACAACATTTAATGAATCAACTGTGAGCTACAGGTCCCTCCTTAAGCATGATTGTGGCCCATTAAATCAATTAAATTTCCATGCAACCCAGCATAAATAGTTTTTTTTTTTTTTAGAAAATATGCGCTGAATTTGCCTTAAAAAAATGTTAAATACTCAAATATGTTCAACAAGTAAAAAAAAGTTTATTCCAACTATAAATATGTACAAAAAATATCTTCAAGTTACTAAACGAAACTGAACAAAGAAAAAAATCCTCAAATGTACAATACTTATAAAAATGTATATATCAGCCTACATATGCAGGTATTTTTGGTGTTCATGAAAGAACCATTTAAGATGACATGGTACCCGCTGTGTTGTTTCCGTCTTACACACGTACGACATGGCAGATTTTTGTTTGCCAGTTTCATAGTGTGCTCTGGTTTTAATATTAGAGTGAATTGACCTATTACTGACAGCACACTATTGAAACTGGCGAACGACAATTTAGTATGTCATACGTGTGTAAGAGAGAGACAACACATGAGTGTACCACGTCCTTTTAAGTTAAAGATAAAATATCAAATTGCACCAATGTAAAATATCAAATGTACCTAATCTCTCTCATTAAACTATTTTTTTTTTTTTTTTTAATGTTCATGATATTATAAAAGCCATCGACAAGTTTTTTATACCACAATCAACAACTATTATCTATGTACAACATTTTAGTATGAAGGAAAAATGGTTAATTTTCTAGATATTATTATTAAAACATTAACACTCACTTGGCCTGAGATCACCCAGTGTACAGTGTTGTTCTACCCATTGAAGAGTAGTACGGTACATTTCATCATAACTTGATGTAGACACACTAGAGTTAAACGAATTTAATAGTGGTTCTGCAATTAAACTCAGCTAAATATTATGAATTTAAAGAATTAAAATACAAATTGGATGAACTTTTTAACATAATTACATGACAAACAAATGTATATGAAGTATATATACCTATTGCTTATATTATAAGAGTTAATTGTTCATGCTTTAGGTTAAAAAATTAAATTTTAACAAAAACTATGGTTTTTGATAAAAATAATATTTATAAATACAAATGAGAAGGTTAAAAAAACTTTAAAAATATAAAATATATTGTTGTTAATAGTATTTATAAAAGTTAATAAAGACCTTAATCAAATCATAAATTTTATAATATATAGATAAACCATCCTATTATTAGTATTGGAAGCTACTAATTGCTATCAACCGCTAGGTTTGCTGTATCCGTTTACATTGCGCTTAATGCAAACAGTTACAGCGAATCTAGTGGCTGACAGGAATAAATTAGTAACTTATAATATTGACAATATGATGACTTATCTTTATAGTGTATATTATTATAAAATCAATGATCAAATGTATAAATGAGAATATTTTTTTAATGTATCTATATTATAATTAATAATATACAAGTATACAACTATTATTTAAATTCACATGAACAAATTTTGTTATTTAAAGTTTTTAAATACCTTTAGGATATTATTAGTATTATTTGATGTAATTTTTATTATTTAGTAAAAAAAAATATGCTAGAACTTACATTAACCTTAATTAAAACTATGTCAAGGATACAATATAAAATTTCCAATTCTCTTGAGTTCTTTTCTTAACATATTCATCGAACATTTCTTTCATTTTAGTTGTTCGTTGTCTAGAAAATGGGGCTCCCGTTGCGGGTAACATTGCTTGACAATTACTGTAAAACCAAATTTAAATTAATTTTTAAATGCAATTAAAGAATTATTGATTCTCAATTTAAAAATAATAAATACATTTACCAACCTTATAGCTAGATTAAGAGATTCAACTTGTTGTTGCAAACTTTGCCTCTCTTCATATAACCGTGCTCGTTCTGACCTTAGCTGGAGTATATAATCAGCTCCTTTTTGTAACATTGCAGCTTTACTCATTTTTGTGTTTGGATTTTGATTGATTTGTGGTATTAACATATTCAACATATCAAATCCATTCTTAATGTTGCACCTCCGCTTTTGTTCTGCATTTATATGACAAACTCTCCTATGCTCCTGCACATATTTTAACCTAGGCCTTAAGCTCATGAGCAGTTCACACTAATATTTATTTAAATAACTAAACTAACTTGGTCTAAAACAAATCAGTGTGTTATATTACCTTATATGGAGTTCTTGATGGACCAGGGATCATGACATGTGTTGGCATTGGCATCGAACCATTTCTTTGTGACAAATTCACAGACTCATTAGATTGATTTGGAGAGTGAGTTTTTTGACAAAGATCTGTACTACATGCCATAGGTGATGTTACAGATTGAGGAATTGGAGTATTTAAGGGTTGACTATAGTTATTTGTAGGTGAAGGTTGACTGCTCGTAGGCGATGGTTTGTCCATGACCGAGACAGAGTGATTGACATACTCTTGAGGTTGTGGGAGCCTGTAGGTTGAGTAACCTTGGGTGTTTCCATGTGGTATATCAAATCTAGGTTGAATTTGCGGAAGTTGATGAATACCACCAGGTGTTCCAACTGCATCGATAAGTCCACGAGTATTAGGTGTTAAATTATATACATTACAGTCACTAAGAATATTAAAAAATATATATAAATATAGATAAAATATATTTAAATCATACTTTATTCACAATATTACAATACCTTTGATTCATAAAGACAGGACTTGGTTTTCGATACACAAGATGATCAGTGTATGAAGTTAAAACGTGATCTGGTGTTCTTGCTCTTCTTTGTATTAATTGATATGGGATCTGTGGAACTTGTGGAACCTGTGGTACTTGCTGGTATGTTTGATAAGATCCGTTTGTATTTCGAAACTTGGCCATGTTGGTAGAAACTACAGTTGAACTTGGTGTTGGAAACATATTGTCTAACAAAAATATTATTATTTTTATATAAAACTATATTAGAAAATATATTATATAATATTATTTAAATAAAAATGTACTCGACGAGAGAAGCTGAGCAAGTAAAACACTTTGGTTGTTATCATTTGAAGGATTTATACTAGATTGCATAACTTTTTGCTTTGGCTGAGCTTGTCTACCGCGTTGCCTCTGTCTGATCTACAATATATACAAAGGCATAATCAAATTATAAATGTCTAATCATGGGTTATAAATTAATTATTACTTTTGGTGCAACAAAGTGATCTTGTGTGTTTCTCACAATTGGAGGGAACTTGTTATACGTTTGTACTTGTGGAGTTCTATTTTTAAAATCATTAGTTGATGACCCATTGCCATAATTCATCACAGAGGTATTAGTTGCAGATATATCTTGATGTTGATTATAACTGTTGGAGTTTAACACCGGTTCATGGCTAATATTGGAATTATTGAATTCAAACGAATATACAGGCGGTGGAGGTGGTATCTGCATTTCGTTGTGATGAGGTTGTGCAGCTCCCGTGGGAATATTGTTATATGAGAGATTATTGGATTGGTAATTACTATTTGAAGATTGATGAAACATTGTAGGAAAATTAGATTGATAGTTTTCTCCAGTTGAATAACTATTAGCGTGCAATGGACATGATGAATCGGTAGTTTCTTGTCGCATATTTGTCATTTTAAGTTGGTTCAGTTCTGAATGTAAAGACAATGAATGTTGATTTGTCTGATAACAAGTGTTTACATTTCCATAAGGCTGACTGTATAAATTGTTGGAAGATTCTGTTGACATATGACATTCTTCTGGTACCGGTGGTAACTTAGGAGGACTAAATAGATCTAAAAATTAATAATTTACAAAAAATTATATATTATGATTTGTAAATTGACTTTAATAGAGAGGATAGTAACATGATCATAGGTGCAACCTTTGGTAGTAAGGGGTGGTGCTTAGCACCCTCAGTTTTGAAATTAGTACACTCATAATACTAGCCATTAGTGGTTAATCATTAATTAGTACTTATTTTGTAAATAAGATGCCATTTGTTAAATTTGATTATTCTATTGTGGATGTAGGTAAAATTGCTTATTGTGTAATGCTTAATTATAAGACTAACTGAAAAAAAATAGGGGGCTTTAGAAACCCCAGTTTTATCAATGAAATGCACCTCTGAACATGAAACTATTAAGTTAAATTTATGTAGTTGTTTCAGCTAAATACTAGCGACTAATTGATTATATTTTAACATACTAATAATAAATTACATATTTAAATAAAGGATTCATATTTATAGACTATAATAGAAGTTCCCTAACTTCTAGGGGTACCTAATTTTAATTTATAATAAGAACATATAAAATGTATTACACCTCTTTTCTATGTCTATGAATCAACATTACAATATTCAATCATAAATATTTTTAATAAACAGCAATATAATATTACCTAACTTTAATTAAAAATTTAAATATGTGGTAATTTTGTATTAAAAAATGTATCAAAGGTTAGGTTAAATTTTAATAATTTTAATTTATCTCCTTTAAAATTAGGTACCTAAATATTATCTAACTCGCAAAATTCTTTATCAAGTCTCTTTGTATTAAACGAAAATTAATTTTTATAGATCTTATATTATAGCCATATTATTAATTTTAGTGGAACTACTTGCATCAAACAGGACCAATAGTAATAATTTAATTTGTTTTTCACTCATACTCAACAGTTTAAATACTTTGTTAATCATAACTTATAAGTATGTATTTGATTAGGTACATAATAATTAGGAATCTCCTAAACATATTAAAAAATTAAATTATTTAATAATGTTTTTCATGATATAAGTCAGTAAATGGTTCAAATTAAATTATTTAATTGACTGATAATTTTACTGACTATTAACAAAGATTATAACATTTAGAATATATATTTTAAGTGTGCAAAAGAATAACAAAAAATTATCTCTTTCGCAATAGGTCAATATCTAACATCCATATTTAAATTAAGTTATTACTTGTAAATGTATTAATAATAAATAATTTACAAACGTCTTAAAATATATAATTTAAAATTGAACAATCTTTAATTTATTTTTTTAATATTCTACTTTCTTCTTCAAATTAAAAAAAGAGATATACATGCACATATTAATGATATATCTGTTAATTAGGAATAGATGTTTTTATTATTTCATAGTTGAATAGTTCTAGATTATTAAATAATTTTAAATATATAATTTAACATTGTATTTTATTTTTGTATCTGGAGACACTATTTTTAGTAAACCTAACGGATTATATATAACGATCATTAACATCGAAGGAATGTTTCTAGTAGCAAATCGGATTTAGTTTAGTACTTTGGTGAGTCAAAAGCATAAACCTATAAACTAATGGACCGTGCTTAGAGAAAGAAGTCAGGGGTTCGATATAGGGTGAGTGAGAAAAGAAACAGAGCAGTAACATTTATACAGTTCTTTATGCGGGCTCCTTCACTAATTTATGTTCTTTCTCTCTGTTATATCGTTATATGATCACCTAGCATTGAAGGCAGGGCGGAGTGGAATGCTTTGTCCAATAGTTTATAGGTCTATGGTCAAAAGTATACATTTCTTAGTAATTGTTTGGTTATGCCATTTCCGCTCAGAATCGTTTTCTTAGCATGATAATTTATCATTGACTTAAAATTTAACACATCCATCACAGTGACTAGATACACTCAACCCCTACTGTACAGCAGAGCAGGGTCACCTACTTGACTGATATTTATACCCTTCCCTTCTTACCATGCAAACAAAGTTTTAAATGTATAATATCTAAGCTAAATAGGTACTATTATTGAAGTATTTATATCATTAATAAAAGTAAATTAATAAATTTAAATTGTAAATCGTTGATTGTTTCTTATGAGGATATGATACCAGCATGTGTTGTCTCCTTCTTACAAGTGCATAACATAGCAAATTTTACGCTCAGCAAAACATGTGTAGCTCCGTTAATTTAAAAATAAGAGTAAATTAACCTCTTATCCAAAGGTAAGATTATTATCTATACAACCTCATGAGCTTTTTATAATATTTTAGTTTTTAAGCTAGTTATGAGTACTTTAAGATCTATAAACAATTAACAGTTTTAAAATACCCATAGCTCGCTTAAAAATTAAAATATAATAAAAAGCCCAAGAGGTTGTCTAGATAATAATCTTACCTTTAGATTTTATAAGAGAATTTACTCTAATTTTTAAACTAACTGAGCTACACGTGTTCTACTTTGAGTAGAATTTTCTATGTTACGCAATTGTAAGACGGAGACAACACATGCGGGTATCACGTCCCCTTAAATTTATATAATAAGAACTTTTGAAAAACTTTTCTTTTTTTTTAACACACTTTGTCACAATAATAAACGATTTTAAAACTTGAACATTTTGGAATTTAAAGTTTATAAAATATTGATGTAAAGATGGTATAGGTATAAGACTAAAGTTTCAATGAGGTTGTATTCAATGTTTATATTTTCAAAATTTTTTATATATCTAACCGTTGAATATAAAGCAATGAATATAAATATTCAACGTATTGAAACAAATGTTAAGAGAAATTAATATTGCTGAAAGTTTTTAATAATATTATTTTCTGAATTTCAACCAAAATTAATAAAAACAGATATTCTAAACATTTTTTTGTAGATTTTTAGAATTTTCTAGAAAATTACTGAAAAATTCAAAAATTATCGCTCTAAAGTACCATCTGCGTCGAATTTCCAATCTATAGAGGATCTTTATAGACAATACTTTTGAAGCACTCTTTTAACGGAAAAAAGTGGTGACAAAACTAAAAAAAAATAAAAATAAAAAAAACAACATTTAATTATAAAACCATTATACTCTGCTACACTCAAAATCTAAAAAACAACTTTTTTTTCATACTAAGGTGATTAATAAAATATATTGATTAAATTTCTAATTGGCTGTTTTAATATAAGATAACCTACCTACACTACCTACCTTTTTTAAACACCCAAAACCCCCCTGGCTATGCCACTGTTTCACATTGTCAACAGTTAAGTTTATTAAACATTAGGTATGTGTATACTTGTTATAATTTTTTTTAACTAATATTAATTTACTCTTATTTTAAGTTTCCATTCATGTAGATGTATTATGTCATACACAAATGTATTGATTCTGTATTACCAATAAAAAACAAAGTAAATTATACTCTGTTATTTTTAATATTATCATTCTCATAAGAGTATTTTAAAAATAAATGTAACCACAATTCTTTATAATACCAATTACCATTGCTTCAAAATTCAAAAAAAAGCTTACATGGGGTCCTAGATAATATTTTTACCTATAAATATGTTAATAGGTTAATTCAACAAAAATTATAACAATACAACAATAATACATTGTTTTTACATATAAGGTTTGGCTAATAGAACATAATATTATTCTCTATAAATTATTTTCCAATAATAAGCAACTGGTATATAACTGCTTACGTAATATTTTAGAAGTTTTCCTAACCATCAGCCAGAAGATATATCTTAATAAAAAATCGAGTCACCCAAATTATATGACTAAGTTGTTGCGCATGTCAACAATTTTTTTCTTGGATGTAAATACGCAGGCTGTTTAAAGGGTTAACATTTAACTGTTAAATTATGTTTGTTTTGTCAGTAAATTATACTTTCAATATGCTTTACAAAAAAATTATCAGTAATAATTTACAATTTCATATCCTCTAATTTTTTATTCACCATAGGGCCCAACTCCTAATAATAGGCCTGGGTTTTGTGTATACATTTGAACATAATTTATAATTTAACATAGATGTTGTCATCTTGATATAATGATGATGTTTAATCATAAAACTATTCCTAAATTATTAATTACTTATTAACTTCATTAATCATTGAAAACAAATTTTTATCTTGAAAACACAATGGGTTTTATCATACATATAGTATAATATAATAATATTGTATTATTGTAGTAATGCAATTTCAGCATTTCACTTGTTGAATTGATCTATTATCAAATTTAAAGCACATAATATTATCCAGGGAATCAGTAGGATTTTTATGATATTTTATTAGGGCCCTGGATAACATTCCAACATTTACAATTAAATTGTATAATATTAGTCAATAGACCAATGATAATTAACTCTAATATTAAAAATAACAAAGTAAGCTTGATTCTTCTCAATATAAACTTGCTATAATAATATGCTGTGCTAGTCAGAATTAGGAGTCCATGTGCAGGCAGTCCTTTTTATATTATGAAAAACATCAGATATTAATAATGATGTAATAATTCTTATTATTGAGTTGTGTAAATAAAGTTTAATACCAGCTAGCATAAGAAAATGTGAAATAAACTCGTTTCATTTTTTTTTGTACCTACCTAATATAATATTATAATAATTTATTGAATCATACTAGTCAGATTATGAGAAATTATGATAGGTTGTAACCTAACCTGTAAGTTAACAATAATATTTCTAAAAATAGTGTATAGGTAATACGATTAAAATAATTAATGTATTAAATTTGTACGTTATTTTCGTCTATTATAATATTTAACATTAGTATCGTTAAAACAAGCCTAAAGGTCGTGAAAACGTGTGAACACGTTAGTATAGATAGTAGATACCTATATAGTATATATGATATTATGTATATGCACCATACATACAAATATTATTTATTATTATTATATCATATAGTGTATTGTAGGTACCTTGCAAAGGTTCTATGGTATCCATGAATTCATCTAAATTTGGCTGTAGCTGTCCTAAACTCGGTTGTATAAAATCGGCAATATTAGTCGTCGTCGATTTGTCTAAAAACAGAAAAGAAAATTTTTTTATCAAAATAAGTAAAAATAGAACGTACACAAAAAAACAATCAACACCTTGTTTATAATTAAATCGATTTACCCCCACCCCGAAATCACTCAATGGTTGAAAAAAAAATCAATCGTAAACTTACGTCAAAAAATTGTATTACGATTTTGTATATTACAGCGCGGACGTCACACCAACAACTTTTTACAATGATGTTATAAATTATAATATAAATACGTATTATACATTAATATAAGTGCATACTGCATGTTATAAGGGGCATTATGTATAAATATATAAATACGAACGCGAGCGTAGCTAATAAATCGCTCGATGTAATTAAATAATAATAATATTATACATCGGAGAGGAGTTCTGGGCGTGTGTAAATATAATATCAAACGTTCGATTTCAATACTGGCATTACTGGTTGGTGATAACGGATTTACTGCCACCGAGTTAGACCTCTTTAAAAATACCATATTATTTTAATTTTTAAAGACTATAATCTTATCACAACAAGACCGTATTATAATAATAATAATAATTTCGATAAAGCCGTCAGCCGTGTATTTTGAGATATATTTTTCTTCTTCGAAACACACATACAACCGTCATTATAATTAAATGTATAATGTTTTAATATTAATATAGGTACTATACGCGTACAGCACATTACATAAAAATTTAAAATGTATAGTGTGCCAGTACAGCAGGCTTAATAAGGTTATTAATTCACTGCATCAAATCATTCCGTTTCATTTTATTTTAAAAAACAAATTAAACACTAACAATTGTCCGCTATATACAGTACAATGTAGCACATAATATTACATTTTTTGTTGGCACTAGCAACAATAATCTCAGCATCAGATTAACCAGAAAAAAGATAAATGTTCCTAAAATAATAGTCTTGTCGGCATGCGCCTCTTTGTCATAAACGTATGCTGTAGTGTCATTTATTTTATTTATTAAATTCATGTAACATGGGTTGTATTTTATTCGCAATTTGTTTCCTGGTTCGATCGGTCCATAATCAAAAACAAACACTTTGGAGGAAAACTAAAGGAACATGGGCTGAATTCTGGACACGATGTAATTTAAAATTAATATCAAACGAGTACATTATAGTACTATAAGAACGCGCGAACACGACGAACGCGTAAAAGACACGTGTTGGCGCAACGAAATATTTAATGTAAATATTTCGATACATTATATACAACTTATAGCAATAATAATATACATACGTACGTTTTGTATACATAAAACTTGACGTTGGCATATTGGACTATAACCTACAAGCTGATTAGAAAAATCTCGAATGGCGAGAAATAGCGCAACTAGGAGGTTTACAAGTGTTATTAAAAACGATATAATATACGGAACAGTATCAATTTGTTCGGTTATGATATTATTATGGCAATGGCATAAAACGATGGTATTAAGTTCTTTGGGAAGGCCGAGTGAGGAGCGGAGCTTCTCGTAATCTAATCAACGAATATATGTTTTTCGAACGATAAACACTTTAATTGGTTTTTCAAGTAGTATTTGGGACATACTGGTAAGCCGATAAGAACAATTAAATAAGTAAATAATATCTAATTATAAATTATTACTGTAATTTAGACAGTGATTCTTAGTAGTCAGTGAATTTAATACATTAATTCCAAGTCTTGCATATAGTCGCATTCGTATAGATATTACACATTTACACATAATACAATACAAAGTAAGTAGTATTAGTCAAGTGAAAAACACAAACATTGTATAATGGCCCATGTAGATATGTGTTTAATAAAGGTGTGTGTTGTGAAATCTCAAATTAGTAATTACAAAAGAGAAAACCTCTCATTTCTCAATAACATTTGCCTATTTATTGATAAAATTTTTATCTGAATCAATAGAACAAAATGAAAGTTAAATAACGTTTTCTCAAAAATACTTTAAAAAAGCTAAATATGTGCTTTTCACATTTCGTCATTTGAGGAGTGGCAGGGTGGTCATTTTCTCCCCCTTGTCATAGCGGGCCGGTGCCGGGCCTTCATATAGTAGCTAATAGGTAATATACTAATATATATTTAAGTTTCCCCCTACATATTATGTATTAATTGTTTAGTCATTGTTATCTCTCAAAAAAATGGGTTTTTTATGCCTATGATACTAACTAGTCAGTATACAATTATGTCAGAAGGCTATTTGTATTGAGATAAAAATACAATTGTAATGTAATATAATTTAACTGTTAGTGAGCGGGTTTTTTTTAGTTTTATTATGGGCCGGTTAAAAATGTTGAGCCCCTCTCAAAAACTGAAATGACGCCACAGTTCCGACTTACAAATTAAATTACATATTCGATAACAATTAGTGTCTTTTGATCTCCCGAAATTCGGTCTAATATTTTTATTTTTATTGTTCTTAATTAACAACGGCGACAATGGCCATTAGTTCCATTTTTTTTTGTTAAATTAGGTTATATTAAGAACTTTAAATATTAAAATTAGAAATGCCGTTATAAATATCAAGGGGGTGGGCGGGTGTATACCATGAATACATTTTTGCTCCTCACCAAAAATGAGTTCAACACACACGCCAAGGCTTTAATATAATACATATTACATACTGAACAATATTTTATAATATATGATAATATGTAACAGTAACAGTTACAGTACCAGACATTCTCAATGAACAAACACCACAATCGTCAACTTAATCAATAATAATAGTATTTTAGTATTTATAATAAGGACCCATATACAAGTTCTCATTTAAACAAAATCACCAAAAATAAATTAAACCGGATCTTCTAAAAAAAATAAATCTAAGAAAATCATGACTTCATGTACCTTATTTCTACATCATACTATAGAACTATAATTATGGTACCAAATAATTTATAGTATTTGATAGTACTATACTCTGTCCAACGAGAATACTATAGATAACGCCGATTCTGCACATTGCACATATTAATATATTATTATAAAAAAATAACGAAACCCTGACAGTGGAACCGGTGGTCGATGGCTGGGTGTCATACAGGAATGATCAGTAAAACCGATTTTCCTCGGACCGCAATGCGTTCTCTTGTAGGAACTCTACAGAGTATGGATAAGAAAGAAGTCGAATGCAAATATCTTAAAGCATAACCCGCTTCCTAATATAATATGATACCTACATTTAAATGAAGTTTATGAAGTCTATGAAGTTTCAATTTGTAGTTGACACAATACAAATATTACATGATAAAAAAATATTATGAGATCAATTTTAACTTATTAAGGTAGTACAAATGTCTGTGAGGCAGTGCAAAACCATCTAGACGTTTTTCATTTTAGCAAATTTCGAGTTTTTGAAAATTCAAACTCTCAACATAAGTTAACTTTGTTTTGCGTACATACATATTTCATTTATTATATTATTTATTGATTACAAGGGATTATGATAAAACTCACTTTATAGTTTATTCGTAAATAATAATGACAGAACCGTCTTTAGGATTTGAGAGGTCCACGGCGAAAAGCAATTTTTAAACCAGTTTTACCATTTTTTTCAAACACGAGGCCTCCAAATGTTAGGAAAAATGCCTAGGCCTAGGCCCTGCTCGCCCTCCTAAGAACGGCCCTGAATAATGATAGTTGATAAGTAATTGTACCTACTAGTTTTAAATTCAAATTTCAAATTACAAAATAATAAAAAATAATACATATCATTAACTAAATAAAATGTATAAACATATATTTAACAAATGCTATTGCAATAATAATAATAATAATAATACAAATTGGTGTCCACTTTTCGTGATTAAGTGGGTTTAATTATAATATGATATGACATAATATATAATTGTGACTATTTTAATTTCAAACATTATATTATAATAATTACCAATTCGCAAATATATCAATAATATTATATTATTATCATAATACTATAATAGTTGCAGATGCCAAATACTAATAATACTTAAAGACAATTTTAATAGTTACTCCAATAATATTAAATGCACAAAAGTTTGATATCACTGATGTTTAAAACTCGAATCACTATAATATCATAATGATCAACATTGAGACATATTATTATGAAAAATATGTACAATTTTATAGCTATAAATTTTAATGTTCTTATTTGAATAAAGCAGCAAGGCATGGGTTAATCAATTATGTAAGTTTTTTATAACCATTATAATAACTGTTGTGTATGTTGTATGTAGACATGTAGTATGTACTGCCATCGATTTTAGAATATACTAGTTACTTTGTATATTCTAAAACCAATGGTACTACTCAGTATAAGTACTAATCAGTAATCTGTCTTACAATAATATTTACATAGTTAATATGAGTTTGTTACTATTTACTAATAATAATATAATAACTAATAACAGATTTTATGTTAATAATTTTTTTTTTTTACATTATAGTCTAATACCTATTTATTATTAATATTATCAATTTAATATAAGTCGGCTGTATTTACTAATTCTAACTTGGTGCTTTCTAAAATATAACCAAATATGAATTTGAGTGGCGATATAGGAAAGTCAAATTCACATTTAACACAGTTGTAAGCACAATTCACAGCTTTTTCCGAAACTTTGGGTTTTGGGACTAATGGGGTTTCTCAACCCCAATGACGGATCATACACAAAATATTAAAAATTCGTAAAAAATTCCTAAGTTAGAAATAAGTGACCACACATTACAGAAAGATCTCTTCTTGATATCTATATAAGTGAGTTTACGAAAAGTCAAAGAAAACAAGAAAAATGACAAATTTGAGGCATTTTATTAAGTGATATAAAAAGGTTGAGCCTTAAA